TTTGTTCACAATGGGTGGCATGCAAGTAGCCTGATGGTCAGACTACATGGTCAGGTTTTCTTTAACATATATAAATTTCCATGTATGATTTAGTGCCATCAAGTGATAAAAGCCCTTATGGGCTGCTGAGGGTGTTTCCTTTTCGGTTTTATTGAGAAAAGTGTTAGAGATATATGGATCTGCTACAAAGTCTCTAGGTATGAAAAACAATTGAAACCCATCCACCTCTACCAGGCTACAGCATCAACACCAGCAATAATAATACACAGGAAAATACTATAAGAGCTTGCACAATCAGTAAAATAAAAAAAAAATAAGAATATAACATTATGTTTTGATATTTTACTTGAAGTCAGTCTAGGATCTCAAAGGAGAGCCATAGTTAGTGGATGGAATCAACCTGAGACATTTTATAATTAACCGTTCTTAAAAAAGGACAACAAAACAAGGTCAAAAAAATCATTCAAAAAATTATAGTAGTTCATATATCAAAAATCATTACACAAAAGAAATTTTTTTTTAAAAACATTAGAAGAAAAAGATAAAGATACTTATCAATATCACAATTAAAAAAGAGTATGGGGGGTTAAGTAACTGTAAAATAAATTGATGCTGGATTAGTTTTCATAGCATGTGTTTTTTCTTTAATAAAACACAAAAAAGATCGACAAATGTAAAAAAGCAAATTAAAAGAGACCAGCAACGAGACCGGCAGCAACGGCAACAAAGCCAGGAGCAGCAAAAGCGGCAACGCCGTTAACCTGGGAAATGGAGCTAGAGGTAACGATGGTGACGTTACCAGAGGCCGAAGAAGTTGCAAGGGTGGAAGAAGGACTGTGAGTGGTAGTTTGAGCAGGAGCAGTGGAGGACTCAGCGGGGGCAGAAGTAACAGCAGGAGCAGAGGACTCAGCAGGAGCAGCAGAAGACTCGGCGGGGGCAGCGGAAGACTCGGCAGGAGCAGAGGACTCAGCAGGAGCAGCAGAGGACTCAGCAGGAGCAACAGAGGACTCAGCAGGAGCAACAGAGGACTCAGCAGGGGTGGCAGAAGTCTCAGCAGGAGCAGCAGAAGACTCAGCGGGGGCAGCGGAAGACTCAGCAGGAGCAGAGGTCTCGGCAGGGGCCGAGGTCACTGCAGCGGCGGAAGTCTCAACAGAAGCAGCGGTGGTCTTCGCGGCGGCAGTATTGGTGTTGACACCAGTAGGCTCAGTAGGGAGATTGCACTTTCCGAGAGGCTCAACAAGGTACTTGCCGTAGTAGCTCCAGAGTTGCCAGCCACACTCAAGGCAGCCAGGAACAAGCTCCATGAATGGGCTGTCTTCGGCACAGAGACACTCGTTGTCAGTGCACTTTCTGGACTCAAGAATGAGGTTACCACAGAACTCATGACAGCTCATAGTGGCACCGGGAAGCTGAGCAACAGCTTCGGGGAAAGGAACAGCAGCAACAGCAGCAACGAGAGCGGCAGTAGAAATAAAAATCTTGGAAGAAACCATTTTTGTATTAATTAATTTTTTTAATTTGTTTCTGAGCAGAAGCGAGTGACTTTTGTTAGAATATTAGCGATAGTGATGATGAAAAAGAGAAAATAAAAGAGCTGGAAAGTAACAGGTATTTATATTTTGGAGACCAGATTAAAAATTCAAGATACAAACTCATGGGGTATCGAATTTGGTTCCAAAAGGTCTAGTGATTGATGCTGAAACTTGCTGTTTGTTCCAGTAGCAGACCTTCATAATTGCTGAAAATTACCTAGTAAAGATTCCATCTGTACTGAAAACCTTTTTTTATTTTTTAAAAAATTAACTTTAATTTGGGGTTTAAACTACTAGTTATTTATCAGATGTCTGACTGCGTTCCCATTGGCTGTTGAGGACTTAACCCGATGGAAACAGCAAGGCGATTTCAGCCTGCATCTAAGTATGTCTTCAAGTGGAAACATGAATGAAGGCCAATGCTAATACCCCCAGGAATCTTTTGGTTATACTCATGGGTCGAACCTACTTTTTTTTTTTTCTTCAACTCTCTTGAACTGAACGATAATTTTAAAAATTTGGCCAATCATCCGCTTTACTAACCCTACCCAAAGCGGTAAAAATGATTAGATGGTTTCCTATAAAAGGAAAATCTAAAAAATCGGAACAAAACCAAAACTATGTCTTACAAAATCAAGTTTGCCAAGAAGGGCCAAGACTCTAATGTGCTGTTTGTCAAAACCGGTGGACCAATCAATATCCGTGACTGCTGCAGAATACCTAGAGTAAACATTTAAATATTTTGTGACTGTTTTATGGTTACTGATCTATACTGTGGGCTATGCAGAGTCATCGTGCAATGCGTGAAACATAAAACAACTATAGGAAGTCTAAGGTTCAGTGAATCAAAATCAAATGAGATTTTTGGCCGTCAAAGTTGACTTGAAATTAAAAATATTCTGAAATTTGATACATAAGTAGGCGTGTATATATGATTGCTACATGGTTGGTGTCAGTTTGAACAAAGTTGTTAAAAGTTTGCGCTAGACCCTACGTAAGCCTATTACAGACTTGGTCCATTGCCTGATTATTATTGTGATTATTATAATTATTTTAAAAATCTGCTGGAGCCTAATGCAAACACCTTTTAGGTAGGATATAAGTTTTTATCACGACGAGATTTTTCTGCTGTGGAATGTTCAGGCCAAGTTTTTATTATCCTGGCTCTTGCCAAATAGAAAATCACTCCAATAAACATCAAGTTTTATCAACTTGCCGATAGATTGACTACAGGTTTTCTCACTGAAAAAAAGTTGTGATTTCTAAGAACCTTTCAGGTCTTCCAAAATTATCGATTGAAAGCTACAAACGCACTACAGTTAACTCTTTATAAAGATAAAACAGGTGCCGTCGCCATATAAACAATCTATTATAAAGCACATTAATGGAATATTATTAATGATTCTAATTAGTCTAGTAAATATATATATGATAGCTTCAAGTAAAAACGCAGAGAATTGTAATTTGACTTCCAGGGTCTTAAAATTTGTCAATTCAAAGTTTTGACGCTCCAGTAGCATTCGTAAATTGTTCACGGAGGCTCATTGGATGAGAAACAGCAAGATTTTAGCTAGCAGGAGACATTTTTAGGTCGTACAGGTCTGCATTTTTCCTTCTTGAGTGGAATTAGTTTTTACAACAGATCAAATTGCAGCATTATTTTACATAATTACAAGTAAATTATTATTTTCCCTACATTTCTCTTTATATTTTTACTTTTCAGAGTTGACCTTCTGTGTTTGACCTTTACTCTTGGGTTTGTCTGGCAATTTCAAAAACATTGTGACTTAAGTTTCACTACATTTTAGCATTCCTTATTGCAAACACAAATTTCATAAAAGTAAAGAAGAAATATTACCTTTCTAAAGGTTGGTATGAGGTATAGAATTTTATGATTTGTTACTGTTAAAAAAAGAAAGAAAGATTGTATCACATGTTGTTAGGTAGTATATGATGAAGCACATTCTATTCGTTGAGAACTTTAGCTTGTTCACATCTGGAATTTTCAAGTTTAAATTGCAAGAATTTGATTCCATAAAAAGAAACAAAAAAACTCAAAAAGTTACTTAAAGAGATGAAATCAGATTTTTGTATTCTTTTTTTTCATTCTCTCCTTTTTTTATTCTTTCTTTTTTAGTTACACATCAAGTTATTAATCCTTGGATCTAAAGAAAATTCCCAAAAGGCTTTTTAGTCGCCAAGCATCTCAATCATTTGTAAACCATATTTCCAGCTTTTAATACCCCAGAGAGTTGCTTTAGTAATCGGTTCTTAACTGTAAACAAATGACAAGACAGATCAAAGTTGAGTGTCTGGCCTATCAGCAGTGAAGTTATGCATACCTTGACTTATTGCAGCTTTTATATCATATCGAATCGGTCCACAATAATGTATGCCAATGCATGTAGCTTAAGTTTTTTGGGCCATTTGGGATCCTTTTTTAGATTGTTAAAAGCTATTTGAATCCAAAATATGTTCAAGTTGGAAATCTGTTGATTTTTTCTAGGTTCCATAGAAGTAATAGAATCTATTTATCTAGATGTCTCATGTGTCGTTATATACGGGAAGAATAACAGATTTATCTACTTAGGAATCTTTGTAGTGTATCTGTATCCATATGTGTGGAAAATTGGAAATACTGGAATTCTTTAAAGAGCCACAAAACTCTCTTGTTAAGTATTTTCAGTAAGTTGATCTCTTAATATTTGGTTCCCGTAACGTATTTTATCACTTTTTATTTTGATAAGTAAACAGCTGCTACACAGATATAATGTGGATATAACAAACATAGAGTATTAATTAGCACAAAAAGAGACTTGTTAAAATTATAACGACACTTCTCTAAATAGCATTTTATGACAAAAAACTTCCAAATCATAAACTGCGATAAATTAATGTTGACAGATCTAAACTTGTGTGAACTTTCCAAAAGCTCGTTCATAAAATCAATAAAGTCAGATAAATAAAACTTTTTTCTATTGCCCTAGTATCTAGAAGTCATATCAGTAAAACTTTTGGTTTAAATTTCTATTATGGAAGCGCAGGGTCCATTCTGAATAATCTGAGGAGTTGTTCAATTCAAGTGAAAGATTTTACTTCTAGACATTAGTCTCAAGAAATTCACATTATGAAACAGAATGACCTACAAAGAAGACATAAAATTTCAAAAACATTTGTCTTTATGAGAGTGGCAATGTAGCGGTGTCAGCGCGCGTAATAAGTTCAGACGTTCGATGACGCCGAATTTTCCATGAAAATATCCATGTGCTAAGGGAAACCTGAGATAACACCCAGTAGATTAATACTAGAGATTGACACTCAGTAAACCCTTAACAAGCTGCTTAGTCAAGCGAACCATCAGCAAAGTAGTTGCGGTAATGAGTCTAAGAACTTGGATCTATTTGATGTAAGGACAATAAACTAATTTTCTATTCAATACCGAAAATACCAAAAAAGATATGTTAGTGACGGGAACGGGGTTCGAACCCGCGCATTCTTACGAATAGCAGATCTTAAGTCTGCCGCCTTAAACCACTCGGCC